CAAACTACTGAACTGCAACTTTGAGTCGAATAAATAAGTTTATCCAAAATTGGTGAATCCAAAGGCAGGTACAATCTAAAAACAACTTAAAGTTTAATAAATGGTTGATAATAATAATAAAACACAATCACCGTTGCACTTTTATTTTCATAATAACTGATCGTAATCTACTCAGTTTTCAACGCCTTTCGTGAAGTCACTGAACTATGTAGGTAGTTCCTTCATAAACGCATGTTACAGGACTGATTACAACTAGTTATGTAGTTTCAGTGGTTATGTGTACGTTACCGCGTATTACGTAAAATTTCAAATGTATAATAGTTATCGAGTGGCGTTATGTGAATCTGAAACCGAACGTGGAAAATTTATGCTCGGTCGAGCGGCTCGCGTGCACCTCGAGCCGCGCTGCACCTTGGCTTCATCTACGTAGCCTTTTTTTGCTTTCTGGTTAGATATAAATATGTGCTATTAATATCATGTACTTATTTGTGCAACCAATAATAATGCAGTGCCTCTATTACTAAAATGTATAATGAGTCAAACAGAGAGCAATTATCAATTATATTATTAATTAGTTGATCAACACTGCAGCTATTTAATTCTAAATATATGTATACATTAATGAACTATACACCCTAAATTGTTGAAATTTTTAGTATTAATGGGATCATTACAATTTTGACTTCGAAATGTAATTGCCAAAATCTTTATTAGCATGCGAGACGAAAAAGAGGAAAAGCAATTAGGTACATTAAAATCCCATATTTTATTCCAAGAAAATAATGAAACGCATAAAAAGTAAATTACGTTATGAAGAGGTTGCTGCTTGAGAAATAACCATATCGATATACATTCTGGATTCACCTAATTACGAACAACGTTGCAAAGACTTAAAAAAAATAATTACTCATATAATGATATTATATGATAAGTTTTTTTTTAAACGATACTCTTAATTTAAAAAATATCATCTATGGCAAGTAAGTTATTATTTTAAAAGTACCGTTACTGAGATCTTTCTGTTGTATAATTTTACAATTTATAATCATTAAGGTTTTTCTGATTCGACAGAGCTGAAAGCGGCGCGCGGGGTGCTCGTTCGCGGTCACCAAAACGACAAGGGTGCAAGCTAAATTGAGACATCTCAACACGTGATTGATTATGGCCATGATTGGCAACTTGCAACTATCAACGGAGCGTATGCTAATTTTCGTATACGTTTTTTGTACCTTGTTCAGAAACCTTTCTTGCGATGTTGAATACGAAAAATTCATTACACCCGATTGCCCTTTGTGAGATATATTAAGTAACTTTCGTATGACGAAGCAGTCAGTCGAAAGGTGCAGACCAGTAGGAACTGTGTTCAGAATGTAAACCGTTATAATCCCTCATCAAGCGTAATATGTTCAGTGTAAAAGGCATCATTAACGATTGCCTTAAAAAGGCAAACGGGAGCAATCATTAAAGTCGCGAAATATTATAAAAAGAAAATAAACAACAACGTGTCTCGTTACGCGAGTTTCCGTTGCTACGAAAGTGAACACAATGATGTCAGTGCGTCGATAAAAAGTCGAATAAAAAATACTCTGAATGAGTAGACGCGCTTTGGACACGCAATACAAGGCTTACTTGTACTTTACAATGTATAGATAGCTCCAGCGGAAGTTTATTAAGTAGTTCTTAAGCCGATGAATGATAATTGCTATGTAAATAATTCGTATGATAAAATAAATCCTTATATATGTATTAGGAAATGCAACGTCCTCGGGCTATGTACATGTACACATGTGCCTTATTACTCTAATCAGATCTATAACTTTATAGCTTATCCTCATGTTTTTACATAATTATAACATTATAGATTGAACGCCTAGCAAATCTTTGTATCATAGGTTTATACATTTTGCAGGTTTTTAATCAAATTTGGTTATTCTTTTCTATACATAGAAAAGTATAAATAATAAAAAGATAAGAATAAAACATAATTTGAATATATTGTGGTTAAAGATGGATGTTATTAAAACGTGGATTATTATATTTGCGATAGGGCGAAGTACAACCCTTTGATGCAAAATATCACACAACTACTCCATGTTACTAGAAAGATGATTAATTGCCACTACACGCTGTGATTGATTGAGCTCCTTTCAAGTTTTTTGTACAGAAAGTATTTCTTACATTTCAATCTATTCATCTTGGCAATGTTAAATTGTCTTTTAAGGTAACATTTTAAAACGATATTTGTCATTAGATATTTGTATGCAAATTGGATAGCCGTGGCGTGTGAATGTTAACAGAAATTAAGTCAGTTCTGATTTCGGTACAGTATTTAATTAGGTACAGGATCTTGAATTCGTGTTTCGTTGCAAGAAAGCTACAGGTCGATGGTATCGCAGACGAAAGCAAAGCTGTGCCGAAACAGGGGCGTGTCAGCCGTAATTACAATCCCGCCACGCACACAAGCGCTCCCAGGCCAAATTTCTCTGTTTACTAAATTTTTTACAATCTCCTAACCGCTTTTTGGCACGCAAATCGTATTCGATTCTCATAGCGTGTGGATTAAATTCTTTTAGTTGTGGTTGATAAGATGATAAAATTGTTTCGAAAAAATGTAGTGTAGGCATCGTTATCAATTTAGTGTTCGTGTGGATATTATTACGCTATTAAAGAATCTTTGTATGAATAGAGTATTCCATGACGACAAAAGTGTATTAAGATTCAGTATATTACCGTTAAGCCTTACCTGTAAAGAATACAATAATCAGAGGTAGGAGATTCCTAAGAGCGGTGGTTTTCTTTTTTGGTGCATAAAAGAATTCTTGTTAAGAAAACACGATGTTTGCCGCATTGAAATTATTTTATCATAATGCAGTATGGTTGTTGTTTAAAGGGAGCGATATTATCCGGAGTCACGGACTCCCGGGGCGATCATTGTATTCCTATATGGCGAATGTCAAAAGCGTCGTCTTAATTATCGGGCGCGGCTATACAATGCAGACTCGATTGCGGCGAGATAAGCTCTGTACACCTATCGGAGTCCGTATTGAATGCGATACGGCCAGGCTGCGGCCGGACTTGCGGCCCACTTACTGCCTTAATAATAACTTCAAACGTATGTCGCATTGTATCTCTGATTATACCGATCTAAGCTTATTGAATCGAGATAAAACGTGTTTGAGTGTGTAGGGGCTGTCAATAAAATGAGAGAAAAACTTAAGTGCTAGACACAAAATACGATATCACTAGATTATGTTATGTGTAACGTTCTATACGTCTGTAGGTCTATTCAAACAATAATATTAACAAAACAATACAAAAAAATCAGCTAATTATTTAAACCAGATTAACGAGATTACCAAATCTGGAATTTCTGGTTTGTCAAGATTTATTAGTTATAAGGTGCAATTTTATTGTGTTTACCTTCTAACGGGTAATATAATTTACCACGGTGTTTTTCAGGAAAGTTTTGTCGTTGTAATGACGGGATTTCCGATTTCCACGTCATCACGTTCCGCACATTTGTAATCAATGCGGTTTTCCTTTTGTTCTAGCTGATTTTCCCACGAGTTATATGATTACTTACTTACAGCTTAGTATTACCACTTGTTTTTTTTAAAGCAAGTCAAGTATATTTATGTGAAATCTTAAGCGCTGAATATGTGTGATATAAAAGTACTAGAAATAGTTGACCAATATTATGTTACGTAGAAAAATAGAAAATGAGACCTAAACGAATATGTAAATTTTGAAACATACATTGCCTGGATTGCCAATGTTTTGGTCGGAGTTTAAAAACTTGCATGAGCAAACTCAGCGGATACCCGCCATGACGTCACCGATCACAGGTAGTAAATATATTTTCGTATATATGCACCTTACAAACGCTGTTTGAAGCTATGCACACCAATTAGTATGTGTAATTAGTTTATAATTTAATAAATATTCATCATTTTTTAAGATTCTGAATAAATAAAAGCCACTTCTTTTTGGTTTAACGTACTTAATTTTAGTGTCTTGCAATAACTCAAAGGGATTAAAATAGATGCATTTTACAATTTTCAGCAAAATTTCATTTGAAATAAAATACGAATTCATCATCATCATCATCAACAGCCTGTCACTGGACACTGCTGGACATAAGCCTCTCCTTAGAAAGGAATTCATTTGAAAGTAACTCGTAAGTGTGAAATAAATATAGCAATTCCCATATTGGGTAACCTAAGTAGCCGATGCACAAAGAAACACGATGAAAGTGAATATGCGAAGGTGAACCAGAAGCCAAGGAACCGCGTGAAACCGATACGAATATGCCTGCGGTTGGCAGTCCCGGCTCCCGTCTCGCAACTCGCGCGTGTCTCCCGCTTATCTACTTACCAACGCTAACAGTAGCCCTTGTTAATATAATCGCACAACAATACGTAAATACATTTCTCTTATTAATGTCATAACGTAATGTACATTCTGGGTTATCCATAATTTCTGAAAATAATCGTAACTTTAATACCTAATTATTACGACGACTTTTGATTTTACATACCATTACATAGGTTGCCTTTTAGGGCTTATTAATCAATGTGATTTTGTTTGAATGCGATTTCTCTAAAATGAAACGAATAGTTAGTCAAACTAATAAAAATATTGATCTATATAAATCACAAAAGATGTAGGTGCACGTAGGCTGTCTACCTAACAAAACTAGAAAACTTACATTGCACTAGTAGCTTCAAGCATAATATTAGGTGCAACAAGTGAATCGCAATCTGCATCCACATCAATGCTATATTATCATACATATAATTGAAGCTAGAGTAGAGTTATAAATTGAGACGTTCGTCGAAAGACAGCGAGGTGCGGCTGTGTTTTGCGATTCCTTTATACGTTCATTAATGCAGCTTTCTCAGGTCCGTAAGATGTAAACATCCGGCCACTTAAATGTTCACTCCAATAATTTAATTGGTTTTTAACTTTTAGCTAATATATATTACATATTTAAAACTTACCTTTACGGTTTGATTCTTGAGAGGTTTATCGGGATCGTGTATGTATTCCAATGTAATCCCGTAGAACTGTCCTTTATTGATGTAAGTAATCCGATCATCTTCGCGTCTTTGCGAACTGCTGCTCGCGGTCTCCAGGTGGTACTTGAAGCCATACGGGGAAAACCTGCGCAAACAATAATATGTGTTTATGTTGACATCGAGAAACGGCGACTCGCTATGACTTGTACGACACTTGCGAGGACGAGATTTAAGATAAACCCACAAAAACTTGAGCATTACGGAGTAGCGTAGTAGGCAAGTTATTGTAAACATTTGTAGGAACATAAACTGCACAAAAAGAGCTGGTTTCTGTAACATTTAGAAAAAGTGCGATTTCTTCTTTGAGATACTTATCTACGGATACACGTTCTGGACAATAAAGTTTCCATGAAGTAAAGCAATAAAAATGTGCAAAAAGTGGAAATCTTAATTGCGCCGGTACACCTTGTCATTTTCGTCGTTACATAAAGGCGCGGAGATCCAGTTCTCTTAAAAACTTAGTTTTTTGTGATTTCCTAAGTGGTGAAGTGACGGAAGGAAAACACTGCTAATTTAGAAGTGATAGCATGCTTCAACTCGTTAGCGACACCGAGCTTAGCGCGTGAGCTGCAAGCCAACCGGGCGCGACTCTTCCATGCTTGTCACCGAGCTGATCTCGGCCCACGCTTTTTACTCGCACAAAGAGAAAACTGCACCACACAATCAACAAGTCATTATCGACTAGATGCATTGTGCTCGATAAAATGTACACATGATAAAATAATAAACATGATAAAATGTAATAAATAGTTGTGAAACTTCTAATCCTTTAAATCTCTCTAAGGAATGCGGATTCAAGTCGATTTATTTGTGCGCTGAAACAATTACTTAAGCTTATTGAAAACAATTTGGTAAACAGCCCAGCTGATGTTTTCAATTCGAACCGAGCTTGTGAAGATAAAAGCTGTGTAATGCAAACGCAGGCCGACATTGACTGATCGGTCTCGGCGGCGCTCGCCTATCTGATGCTCTCTAAGTGATTCCGAACACAATTTACATTTGCAATGTTGCTTTGTATTGTCATTTAAACTACCCTTATCCTTTGTTTACTTACACGTGATGGACTGTTCGTTTTACGGACTAGATTACAATTTTGCAATATTTCCCTATCAGTAAAAGTTATATGTATAATACATGTGAATTAATGGTATAAATTTATCAATTGATACTTCCATTTTTCAGACAGCCGTCAGTATATGAATTCAGTGTATTCTATAATAAATATCACATTGTTTTCAAATGAGCTTCATTACAAATTTCAGTGAAGGAGCAGTAAAAAAAAACACTTCCTGAGTAGAGACAAAAGCCTTTCATGAATAAATCAATCGACAAGGCGCGGAAATTGATGAGTGCGCAAAAAGTCTTGGAACGTAGCGACAACAAAGTGCTCGCAATAAAAATGCATGCCGCTATAACAGACGGAGGAATCAACGTCCCGCAGAGAGGCCGAGCGCTCCTGCGTCAAATTAGATGCGCATAAATACGAAACTCTTTCTATAACCATATAAACTGTACACAAAAACATCATTTATTGCGCATATGTATATTTACGATATTTACAAGGTGCCTATACAAAGTTGTGGAGTGGAATTGAGATATTTTGTAAATTGTATGATAACTCAAGCAGACTTAATTTTCAAGACTCAAGGAGATTAAAAAAAAAGGATAGTTACAAATCGTATTATTATGAATTTCATATGTGTTATACGTACGTACGTTTTCCGTGTGGTGACGGATTAAGAATACGTAATGTCACCACCCCTATTCATCCCCTGGGTATCGTAAAAGTCGACTAAGGGAGAAAACTACGCAGGACAACAGCACTGCAAAGAGAAGGAAAACTTGAAACAAACCCTATACCAACCCGTCTGGCCAGCGTGGTATAGTAGGCCAAAACCTCCTTTCAGGGGAGAGGCCTATGTCCAGCAGTGGACTATTATAGGCCGTTGATGATGATGATGATGATGTATGGGGCACATTGTAATAAATAAACCCGAGACCTAACTCGAAAGATTTGTTAGAAGCCAATGAAGACATGCACGTGCAAGTCTGTTTGATTTTATCGGCTTGATGATACAACATGTTATTAATCTATTGTCATTTATATTAAAACTAGGGTGAAATTTATGACAATTAGAAGTAATTTAACATAGTAACATGTGAAGTTCAATATGTATAAAATGTTAACAAAGTTCCACGTAGCCATTCATTAATTTTCTGTTATATCTAGAAAAAAATCATGAACAAAGTATAGAAATCTAGTGCATGACTGTACGCTTGTATTTTATGCATCATGGGAGCCTTTCTATAGTCGCTCAATGTATCCGACTGTAATGGAAATCGAACCACCATTGTATTGCCAAGGCAGTCTTGTCTACTGTTGGACACTAAGTTTTAAGATCCAATGTGAGTTTTTCTTATTACTTTTGTATCAGTTAATAACAACTACTGTACATCATCATCATCATCAACAGCCTATCATAGTCCACTGCAGGACATATGTATGCCTCTCCTTATAAAAGAGGTTTTGGCGTACTATACTACGCTGGCCAGACGGATTGGTATAGTTTTTGTTTCAAGTTTTCCTTCTCTTTGCAGTGCTGTTGTCCTGCAGTCTTTGCTGCCTTAGTCGACTCTTACGATATACATGGGATGAATAGGGGTAGTGACACTTTGTATTCTTAATCCGTCACCACATGGACGTGTAGTGCACAATTAAAAGTACAAACTATATTACATTACAATTTTCATTAAATTCTTGACAGAGATTGTCTAGCAAAGGTAAAAGGCTATCATTAAAATATATAATCCTTTAACAGGGGGACTCCAGCGACAATATCCTAAATTATACATAGAAAAGCATGGTAGCAGCGTATCACGGTTAGCGGCTGGGTAATAGGACCGCTCACTCAATGGCGGTGAATTGATTGTCAGGTTCGTCTGACAACCGACATGCAAAGTTGCAAACATATCATAATCCTTAGGAAATCCTTTATCGAAGCTACGTAGAGGGAATCTAATCGTCCTAATTCAGATAATTCTAAATTCAAAACCGAAACGAGTTCTATTGGAATAAATGATTTTGGTTTAAAAAATATATTTATAAGAGCGTTTATAAAAAAGAAAATATAAGATAAACCTGGCACAAAAAGCGAATAATAGGTAACGACCTGGGGACATTTAGGTAAATATAACCTACGGAAATCGATTACCATTTGTGACGCCTGAGACGTGCTGGTTTGCCACCCTAGTTGCAGTAATATACTTCTAGCTTCTCATCTATAAATCTGTGTATTTCAAAGTGCTAAAATCTAAACATAATGTATTTACATATTTATCTAATGTCAAAATGGGAACTGTAAACCTTTGAATTTATTCAAACTAAATAAATTTAAGAATGCTACAGACTAACGTATGATCAATTAAAATTTCTGAAATATATTAGACAAATTAAAAATTATTTATTTAGTTTTGTAATACTAAAAGCACGCGCACTGGTGCCTTTCTGAAGTGATAATCAAACGCACACACAACTTGATTGAATTACCTGTTAAAAATTCATTCCTGTGTTGAAAATTCGTCAAGTAAATAAAGTGGACGATTGATACATCGGGAGATATTGGTTGAGTACTTAAGTATCCGGTAAGTAATAGGCCAAACATTTGTGTGGGTGTTTGAATAACTCGACGATATGGTGAGGGCTGGTAATCGGACAGCGAACGAGTACATATCACCATTGAATGTAATTTAAGACGGTAGAAGCGACCGCTATTTGGGGCAAATGCAAGCAAGTAATTATCTAGATAATAATGCTAATGCACTTATCATGTCGACGAGTGCTTCCGCCGACGACGCACCGTTTTTAAACGATTTCATTTGAAGGGTGTTTTCTCTCACGTTTATGTTCAATTTAATTCAAACAATTTATTTACAAATTGATTTGATAATAGTATAATAACTCGGTAACTATAGCTTTTAAAATTAGTGTTATAGAAATATTTAGGTTTATGTTTACAGTTTCAATGGAATGCTCCTCAGAATTTTGAAATTTAGGTTGCGTTTTTAAATTAATTATGACTTCAGGTTGAATAAGAATATCGAGAGGAAAGTTACTTTTGTGCGAGATAGTCTACTTTATGATTTAATAATTAATGAACGGTTTCCGTCGAGAATTGTGAAAATGAAAAATTAATTCAACATGTAAAAAATTAAATTTAAAATGCTCGTAAAATTGTTAGTCATTCCAAATCTGCTTTTCCTAAGATTTGTTTGTCATTAAAAGAAATGTAGTGTCGACTTTTTAAAACATTGTGGATAATTTTATCCATTTGTATAAAGTTTTGAGAGAAGAGAACTTTAACTGAGTTTATGTAACAATAATCCACTGTTTTTTATTTTTATTATGAACAGTTAATCGAGACAACTTTACCGTCTATATTATTAAACAAAATAATAAGAAAGGGTAAACAATAAATGTCCAGAACATACAAAATTGTTAGTTACTAAATTAAAAAAGAATATACTTACGTCCATTCCTTTTTTTATTCCCGGGAAAAGATAGCATGTAAACAAATATCAATTAGTTCTCAGTAATTATACTTCATACGTATGAATAATAACAAATTAGACAAAGACAGGGAGAATCATTATTTTATAGATGTGACTGTAATTATCCCGTTGACTATCACCTGAGAGTTGGGTAATCCCGTTGTATTTATCTTTACAATAATTATTTCAGACATGACTAAGAAGGAAAACCTCGTTCATAATAATGCGTACTTTTAACAAAAAATACGTATTTTGTTCTTGTGTTCATAAGACAATTAAAATTTCGATGTATTTTTTCGACGCGAAAACGTTGACTGTTGATCGCGAGGATTTCTACCGGGTTCATCATACAGATCTTTGCCACTTCAAAGTAAATCTGCCGGTGTGTCACATCACATTCCACGTTTTCCAGGGAGTGATCGAAACTCGAGAATTTAAGTTTTGGTTTAAAACCCAGCGGCTGTTGCCACTCTGCACCAGTTTATAAGTCGATTTCGTTACGATAATAATAGCGACTTCTCTCTTCGAATTATATGACTCACGCAGGGCACAGACTGACTAGGGACAGACAGGCTATGTCCGTTTATAAGCCAACATAATATAGGCAATAACAAGCTACGAATATTTTTCGATATTATAAATTGCTAAGAAATAGGTAATATCATAAATATTTAAATAATATAATTATACAGTACGTAAATACTTGAGTTGCCATTTTAAAAAATAGATTAAACATACATATTTCCGCAATGGACAAATATGTTTTGTAGAGTTTTTTAACTAGGAAAATCATCAGATTAAAATATATTATAATGTTAATTTAATTATTTTTAGGCGTGTTTCCATATTTTCCAAATAAAATATGCCTATGTTTACATATAGGAAGAGAAACAAGTTTAAAGCAAATGAGTTCATCAACCAATCTAATAGATCTTTAGATACAATGATTTGTCATTACTTCTTGGTTTTAAGTTATGTATATTAAAATGTGCTTACCAAATTATCTAATAAACTAAATTTGTTCGTCAATTTATGCAAATGAATAAATGGCAACATTTTATGAGGAGGTTTCTGAGCTTTGTCCTAATAATTAATAACTTTGGGTATGGTAGGAATTCGCAAAGTCCCTCTAATTCGTCTTTGTGACTATTTGGATTATAAACATAAGGCAATAAGAACTCACAGTGAAGATACAGCGCTACTTAAACTGGTGGATAGAATTTGTTTTTCATTCGGTATGTGAAATTAATTACATGTATCAACTTTTACTCAATGAGTCATGATGCAAATTACAATTTTATACTTGTTCGAATACCATTTGTTGATAGGTACTTCCTTTGATAAGTTCGTACCACATACACATTAAACTAAAATAAATTGAAGATTTGAGTGAAATAGAAACCTTTAAAATGGTTAGTACAATTTCAATTTTCTCGTGAATTTTGAGTAAATCTATCAGAGGACAGACCAAAATGTAAGCAACTTTGGTCTCTTCGAGCTATGACAATCTGAGTCAGTTTCCTCATCTGATTCCTTACCCTAGCTGCCTAGCTACATTTTTAAATTCACATTCTTCCTTTGTCCTGATTTGCAAAGGCTACATTCCCAAGGAGTTTTGTCGTCAGGCATGCGACAACCAAAGGAAAAGGCCAAGACACTTTGCACTGTTGGATTTTTTACCGACCCCAATTAATTTCAGAAATAGGACGGTAAGTACATGATAATTCAATATATAGTTTGTAGGTTACAATTACATGTACAAAATTGGTCGAATTATAAAACAAAAGAACCATACTTTCTAGAGCACAACTATGTTTTAAATAAATATAAATATTATTGAACATGTGCATCTGTTTCATTGACAAATATTTTGAACCATATCAAAACAGTATTTAAACACGTTTTTAGACTTCCTTAAACACTCATTTGTGGTACAAGTTTGACTTGTTTTATTTGCAAACCAAATTGATGTATCATCATTAGATATTATAATTATATTGGTATTAGGTTGTAACAAAAATTCCATGATCTTGACCGAGACACACGTGCATTTGTGTTGACAATTTGAGGTTGATACAAGTAGATATTACTACACTGTTGATACCCAAGGGGTCTCTATAGGAAACCAGTATTCGACTATTATCTACAAGGCGTTTTTTTTAAAGAAAGTGAGACCTGTCAATAACATACTCACAAAATTTGTTACGGAATTATTTTGCACTGGATGTTTCTTTATAAAGCATATATAGAGAGCACATATATTGACATAATGTGTCTGTTATAGGTATCCAGAAATCTACAACAAAATGTTTGTCGCGATTACTTCCATTTATGCCATTAAAATCAATATTTCATGGAAAAAGCAATCCCTTTACCGCATAAATTGACAGTAGCAACAGATTGAACCGTCCGTGTGGTGACGGATTAAGAATACAGAGTGTCACCGCCCCTATTCATCCCGTGGTTGTCGTAAGAGCCCACTAAGGGAGCAAAGTACGCAGGACAACAGCACTGCAGAGAGAAGGAAAACTTGACACAAACCCTATACCAACCCGTCTGGCCAGCGTGGTGTAGTAGGCCAAAACCTCCTTTCTAAGGAGAGGCCTATGTCCAGCAGTGGACTAGTAAAGGCTGTCGATGATGATGATATTGATGAACAGATTGAACACCAGCTATGGTTGAGCCTTTATTAAGAATTTACAATAGGTACAGTGCTAAAATCGTTTCAATAGAATAAATATTTTCCACTAGTTCCTTATATATATTTTTTACTATTTGCGCCAAGAGGTAATTAAGGCGTCAGGCAGTTATGAAAGTTAGTTCATCCATTAGGAAATTACCAATTTACACATGCTTTTACTTATTGTATTCAAAGATCACGAAATGGAAGTTAGCACCACTTATAGTCCCGGTAACAAGTTAACAGCAGACGAGAGTTATTATACAAAAAGCCGCTTGGTCGGCATCGGCACTGTACTGCACGAAAATAGCTACTATGATGTATCTAAAGATTTTGTTGTTGTATTTGTAGATAATAATTGCATATAATTATTCGAATAAAAATATGCCAAGTTTAACCCAAAGAATTATTTACCCTCAGTTTCGGAAAAAAATTGCAACTAAATACATATATACACCCACATCTTTCTCCTCGTAGGGGTAGACAGTGGTGTTAACGCATAATAATTAATATGACCTACAAGCTTATTCTACATAATATTTGTACATATGATGGTTCATTGATCATTCTCCTTAAAATTCTTTATTGTGACACTAATGTTGATATTGTAAAGTCATCACCGCCACTTATAGAGAAATATTCAGTTCTATGCTGTCTTACAATATGAAAAGTCGTATAAACAGTTACAAACTGACCACTTTCTAGGAGCCACAACTTTGTCTCAAATACAATGTGTGTGTCCAAAATGACCACAAATACCTACGCTTCCTAGAAAGGGCTACACTATTACAGTGTTATGGGAAGGTGCGAAGTGCTCGGTCAATATTGTCATTCGGGCCACTCGCGCCAGCAAATTACTTACATATAAGAAAAAAGGTTAGATCAAAATGAATTAACTGTTTACCCTCCGAGTTTATGCCGGTCGCGCCTTGTTTGTTTTCTTTAGTACTAAAATTTGTAAAGTCAGCTATGAAAAATGTACAAACTTTATAAAAATGTTGAAATAAATCATTTGCAATTTAAATTTAAAAAAAACATGATGTAAATTTAACTATGTATGTACTAAGTTTCATTGCCGATCATAACGCCGAGATACGCATTCAATGAATTAAAAATAATAAATGATTCATAGGCCTCTAAAACTCTTGCGGAAAATATGAAGATTTTAAATTTATGTCATTGAATTGTGAATATTTTGTATTGTTTTAAATCTCATTATAAAACATCAATTTATCAAAGATAAAGATATTTCCTATTACGTATAATAAGTTGTTGTTGTTAATACATCTGTTTTGCAAATACTTGGATATGGAAACTGTGTTTTATTATGCAAATGTATTGGCGGAAAACCTAAAGGGTATTATTGTATCCAAACGAGTTAGTATCGTATATATATATACATAATTAATCTTGAATGATTTAAGGTAAGAATTTCCATGAAAACATATTTTAAATAAAAAAATAAAGTGCTAATAAATTTAAGCTGTATCAGATTCGACGACAGCCACGTTTACGTTAAAAAACAGACGTGGTTTAATGAATGTTGTATTTCTATAAATGAGAATTTGTTGCACATGCTGTCAGAGATTCACATACTAGTAATCTTTTTAGTAATCTGGTCCTGTTGGAATATTAGTCCAACGGTCCGAGATTACCAACAAGATTACAACCACACAAATGTAATTTTTTATTCATTTGCTTTAATACTCGAATAGTTGGGGCCAGAGGAGCATCAATGAGTACTTACAATTTGGCGATTTGTATCTTGTCTGCATCGTTTTGTCTGCCGAAGTCGTGCCACGGGCGAGTACGCGGGGTCTGCGCGGGCGAGTGGTGGGCCGACGGCGTTCCTCGCCCATCTTCACCGACACCAGGTTGCTGGCATATCACCGTGTAGTCAAAAGACTGCACACACAATTTCTCACTATTAATTGAAATACATACAGTAGATAATGGAACAATGGAAATTTATTACATCAAGAAAACCATCAGTCAAAAAAGTCAGAAATCCAAAGCTTTCTTTCTAATTGGTAACATTTTCTTATAAGAAAATATGTATTATGATATTAAATTTATTGTTGGACACGAGTTGTGTAATTTTTTTGCTATAGTGAAATCTGGATAGGGGTGAATATGAAAAACTGTGTTTATGGTAATGGTATCGCAAAAATAGTTCTTGAATTGGTACCTACTTTTTAACTGTGCCCCGTCATAATATGTGCTAATCAAAGGGGGAGAGAATTCATATTCAGTATTGTTTAATAAAAAAATAAACAGCTTTTACAACTCTGCCAAGTAGGTAGGTAAAATCTCAACAATCAGAAAAGTCAAAACCTTAAAATTGATTTTTCATGTCGTAATCTCCTCTATATTAAATCTAATTGCTACCTAATTTATGATAATGGTTACACATTAAAATATCATTGTAATTACGTCATCATTACCTGCCTCGAAACATTTATACTAATTACAGTTATTCTATGAAATATTGAGCTTTCGATGCTCTAAATGTGGTAAGTAAATAATTAAATTATGCAACAGAAATATTTCATATAAGTGGAATACTGGGTCTATTTCTAAACAAGAGAATGAGGCAAGTTTTAATATCAACTCTAATATAGGTCGGTATATTGTCAGTCTAATAGATCTTTTATATTGAAATAACAAAAGGAGAAATAATAAATAATAAGCAACCTAGATCAGTCAAATAGGTAAGTAGGTAGTTATGTACAATAATCGTGATCGCCACACCCTGGAATCTACAAAGTCCTTCAAAACCACTTAGTTGTCGACCAGATCACTGCCATGTCAATTTGTTATTTTAATATGTAAACTCATAAATTTAAAGTTAAATGCGAAGAATTCACAATTATGTTATGTGAAGGCCTTGCGTGGCGTCGATTCTATTGTTTTACTTCGATGTGTTAACAATTACTGAGTCAGCCAATTATAGTTATCTGTTAGCAAAGTACTCACACAATATCCTAATACTCGTAAGACTTGTTAGTTTTACACATGTGAGATTTGTTTCCTTAAAGATTCTAGTTAGCGTACATTTATCAACCTAAGTATATATTAAGCTAAATAGCCATCTGTGTGGACAAGAGATGCGTGATAGGTATACAATATTTTAGGACAACAAGATAATCCAGTTGCAACTATTAACGGTTGTGTTAATATTTAATAAATTATTGAATAGTACAGAGCGCGGGTGGGCTTCATCGATTGTGCAAATGACCACTCCTTAGAAATGGTCCTTTAATATTGCAAATGTTAAAATATATGCAATTGTATATATGTACCTAAAGTAAATTTTATAGTGAAATCGAGACGTAGCTAGGTATTTCGTGTCGCGTTTTGTTGACCCATAAGAATCATAATATAAAAATATGATCGAGTGAATGAATGAATGAGTTCTGTAGCAGTACTCTCGTAAATATCTGTAATGATTACAATTTGAAACATAAGAGTGTAGTGTTATAAGCAATGTTTGTGTTGTGTTGAAGCCTGCCCGCCCGCGCCCATGACGTAGCACCGACCTGCTGAACAGTGGATGTGTGGTCTCGGGGAGTGACTGCATCTGCTCCAATGCCGCTATCTGGTGAGGGCAGGTCCACTGTGAGCCCAGCGGCCGCGATCACACTCTTGCTGTGATAGCGAGGTGTCGCGTATCGATCACTAAAGGCGGAAGCTGAGGCAGGTTCTGCATCTGCATAAGGAGGCGCTGCTCTTTGCTGGTAACTTTCCCCGACGAAGTACTCTCTATAGTAAGGCTCGCCGGTAAAAGTGGACGGCTGCCTGGAGTACTGGTCGCCATACGGGGTGGGACTGGGGGTGCCTGGTGGCGCAAACATCTGGGCGGCGTACATAGCCGCGTCTGGCAGCAGGGAGCCGGCCGAGGAGGCCCGCGATGGCACCGGAGAGGGCGAAGCCGCTTCGCCAGGCTCGCCGACCGCCACCTGCGGACACACGCGTCTGTTACACGCGTTCTCCCACGACAATTGTCCGCTTCGCAACGTCGATGCGTACATGCCGCGTCGTACAAGCACAGTTCACAATATCACGTACACTAATGTCGCTCAATCGTATCACGTTCACAATTATCAGTGAATGTAATCCCGAAGAATATGAATGGTTCTTCGTGGTCGGCCAGGTGTACCAGGCGGGCAGCACAGGCCGGCTGGACTAGGGCGCGGGCGGGCGCGGCTAGAGCGTCGCGAGCGCGGTGCTCGGCGCATCGTACGAAAACCGTAATAAATAATACATGAATGACCGGTAAGTAAGTGTGTGAGTGCGTGCGCGCGCGACGGCGGCGTGCGGACGTGTGACGCACCTTGTGTCGCGGCGGCTTGAGCGCGTGCGGCTCGGGCTCGTCGACCACCTTGCGGCTGAGGTCCTCGGGCTCGCGCTTCACGAGCCCCGCGTGGAGCAGGCCCGATAGCTCGGCCAGCTCCGCCCCGTGCGCGCCATTGGCTGCCTTCAGCGCTCCGCCGGCCCTGCGGAGGGGAGACACACGTGATTGGCGACGTTGCGCGCGCGCCGCTACTTCTAGCCCGACCTCGCCATGCGCGCGCCAACTCGTCACACTATCATTCTCGCTCTAGGTGTTACAAACTGTCAAATTGTCATATGGTATTTTCTTAGCAATCAAAATACATATAAAATTATCATAAGTACTTGTTGCATATTGCAATACTAGGTATTTACATGATTCCAAGATTCAAATTATACCGCTGAGTAATATAAATGACTAAGTTATTTTACATATTTATTAATACACTTCGTATTTACTTCCATATATCATACTTTATTCAATGGTATTTTACAATATAAAACTACTTTTATCTTGTGTCCTTAGTGTATTTAACTTTTTATTTTATAATTTTTGCACAAACGCTACTAAATGTATACTAAGTGTGTAATATTTAATAGAAAAAAAAACCTACCATTTTATGAATTCCGGTTTGCGATTTCCGATGATTATTACAACATTTTAATATTTTATGCTCTAAATAAGAAACATGTGAAGCGAACATAACAAGGTATATCGATGTACTACACAAGAATGTAACAAGAATGTTTTTCTGAAAAATTAAAATGACAATTGTCAATGAAAATTGATTCCAAAAACTCAAGTATTGCGGTTTTTGTTAGACTCAAAATGTTTCCAGGCATAGGTATGTATCGAATTACTGCCATCTCTTAAGAATAAACCGTTTTTTTTAGAAGAACGATTACTGAATTGCTTACTGAAGAATATGAATTAATTAGCTGTTTTATTTCTACAACAGACTAGCCTCGATTACTTAGAAACTGAAATTATAATATTCTTATACCACTATTTAGTAAGTTTGCTACAAATTCGTACCCACAGTGGTTGTTTATGAGAATTATAACGTATTGGATAGAAAGAAGTCCATATCTACGACTGCATTAAGTGACGATAAACTATCTATTTATCAGCGATAGACTTGCAGAGAGATAGATGAAATGAAAGTTTTAATATCACTAGGAACAAGTTCATTAAGATCTATTTTAGAATTACGACAAACCTTTACCGATACCAAGAAAGTACCGAAATTATCCTTCGAAGTACCCTTTTGCACTTATGTACTGCAATGTTATCTAGTGAGCAGGCTATTTGTTCTAATTGAGTTTTGTTTAGTTTTTTCGAGCATTCACATGTTTTTTTTGTGTTTTTCGTTTTCATGGTCATGATGAATATGAATGTATTTAAATAACAACTCTTTCTGAAAACTGTTATTTAAATACATTCATAATCATCATCATTGAAATCTTTAAAAGAACTTATCCTTTTCTTCAAGGATTCACTCATTTCAAATTGTTTAAATGCTTCGATTCTTCGCAAATGTTGAACTGATCTGTTTTAAAATGATATAAAAATACATAAAATTGCCCAATAATAAGCTGGCATAAGGTATCATTAAGAAGTAAGGCCTTAGAACTAGGTACTTAATTTGTAACAGGAGTGGCGCGGTTTATAGATATATATTATAGGTATTCAAAATAAGTTGCTTTATTATCCCAGCGATCTTCTATTTATGATTTTTCAAAAAAATAAAACATATTTTAATTATATTTTTTTTCAACGTGGTTAAGTGAAATATGTGTGAAATATTTCGGCTGTCTCAGTGGTTCTCTTTATGTATGTATTCATCAATGTGTGATATATGTATGCAGTGTGCTGTCTGTCTAGAATGTGTAAAAGAAATGCAAAAAAATGAATATGAAGGGAACTTGCAGTTTCAGGTTCTAAGCAATGTGTGATCTGATAAAAAAAATGGTTTGATTTTTCATGCTGTCATCCATAGTAATTTATGTTGAAACTTCATAACCTACGCTTAATTAATCTGATACAATATAAAACAACAAAAAATATATTTTACATAAGTTTTTAATGCATAATATTTGCATTTGAAATCAATTTTGGCCAGAGTTGTTTGCACTAAAGATCTGTTGTACCTATTAGATCCTATCAAATACCTACTTATAATTTATGCAAATAAATTAAAATAAATATGAATTTACTTAAACATTTAATCCTTTTGTTAAAGGATAACCTATATATATATATAAATAAAAAAAAAATGTATTGATTTTTTTTTTAAGTATCACCGTCTTTAAATCATTAATGTGCCCGCATACTGATGTACAATTGGCATGAACTGTCTTCATTCTTAAGATATGAATGAATCAATGAATTAGGTATGATTGGTACCAAACGGGAGGTGCCAAAATAATGTACCCAGATAAAAATAAAAAAACAAATTAGTTCATAATTAATGCCGGAGTTGGGGTGAGGTAATGAACATAAACAATAGAATTGAGACCTCTTCCTTTTTTGAAATCGTTTAAAAATAGTAGCATTGTATAGAAGAGGCCAAGCATTTTATTAAACATTGCAAGAATTTAACAACGTTAATTTAAAAAATCAAAATCAATACACCTTTTTAAATCAGTTTCAGTTATACTATAAACACGTACTTTCTCAAAATTAAAAATAGAAAAGCCTCTAAAGAAACCATTCAAACTAAAAGGCAGTAAAGACATTCTTACACGAACACGAATAACGGAGTCACTCAATCTTTTCAGCAGTGATTAGAAAATCATCACAAGAGTTATTAACTTACTGTAAAAACAATATCTGCGTTTGATTGTGGCCATAGAACTTGAGTGAGCCAAGGCTTTATTCAAATGCAATACGGTTATTATACTAAACTAAACACGACTCCCACATCATGCAGCGGGATAGGCATTTTGTCCCACATACCCACCATATAAGATTCATACGGTTCCATTATACAATAGTCAGATAGTAATTATCTCTAATACTCTACTAATATGTATAAAACTCGTTTGTAAAAAGTATAACAATGACATTTGCTACGTTTTCCGTAGGAGTTCCGTAGAGCTTCGTAGCAAGCATTGTTTCCGATATCATTTTTTCGATTCACTTCATACATTGAGCTCGTTCATGTCATATTTTATTAAAATTGTGTGTTTTTGTTGCTGTTGCTGTTTGTGGCTTCTTCTGCCTTGGAACAAAGTAGTCTATGTAAAATCTGAGCAAATGATTTAGATAGAATCTGGAATGCTGGAAACATTAAACAATCACTGTCATTATATTTTATCTTTATACAGTATCTAGTTAGAATAAATTTCATTTAATGCTTTACCTTTATCTCATCAATTTATGTTACATTTTAAATCTAACAGTGAACATAAAAATATTTAAGTTGAGAAACAGTTACTTAACTGGCAAATTTACTTAACGTCAAACTTAGATTGATTTACATCTAATTGCATTTTGAAGGTAGGTTACAGGGAATCGATATGTTTTGTTTGTACGTAGGTATAAGTGCAGACAGGTCCGCGTGTGTGCGGTGCGGGCCGCGGCTTTCGTCGGCCGTTGTCAGTGCGCGCCGATTTATGATAATTGAAGACATGTTTCACCGGCGCTCAGATGTTTATTTTAGATAAGAGACTCTCGTGGCACTATTTCATGCGTCCGAATTGGTCGGGACGCGCGACCTCCCGCGAGCTGTACTCGGCTCGCCGCCCGTGTCCGATTGCAATTCTTGCTTTGCTCATTCTTTACGATTTATGCACGCGATTTGTAAGAGAAACGCGACGAGTGTGAAATCGCTCATTCGATAAGATAAAGTTTTAGTAGATTAAATATTTCTTTATGAAACCCCAAATTTTTCTGTCAAACCATGAAATTTGCAAAAGTTTTTTTTTTAAACACAAAAATTTATACTTCTCAGACTAATAAATTTCAGAATAATATAAGAATGGAAAACTTAAAGTTTTAAGGCATGTATAAAAAATTATGCATGTATGAGAAGTTTGACAAACGCATGTTTTACTTATTACTTTAAACAGTTCTAGTAACTTCATTGCGTTAATGTTTACAAGTTTAAAAATTAAAATTAAAGTATGATAATTAGTATTTACGTTGATTTATATTCACCTATATTGGTATAAAAAGATGCAAAAGGACTTTTCAATATCTCGTTATCGTTGCGAACAACTCATAAAGTTTTTTGCATCACATGCAAATTCAATTATTGGTATTAATCCAACGACGGTATGCTAGCGGCACTACTTAAGGATCGTTATTCATAAGCATTGAACACAATACAGTGTTTGCTTGTCGTTCATTGTTGACGCCTGTATAAACAAGACAAAGCGCGTTTCGATGACAGCTGAGGTGCTCCGATCCCTTCTGACATTATAGTCTATCAGTACGTTCCAAATTTGAATATGTTCAATATAATAAATAATTTAGCGTTTGTTTTGCTACACCGTGAACAAAAAATATACCTACAAAATATCCTACGCACTGCTCACAGCAGTAACTTAGGAAAACAATGCATCACAAGTGTACCACTGAATAGAACAGCATTGTTTAGATGTTTTTATTCTTTAAGTACAAAACTGATCTAGAATTGTATTTAGTTTTCTTAATTTTTTTACAAAAACCAGCTATACTCTGCCGCACTTCACTGTTTCACATTGGATTGTATTAATAAAAAATGATGAACAAAACCGACGCGAAAAACAGATCAAAACAATCTTTGATACCAACTTTTTTACATATTTTATAAAAATACTCATTTTCTTCGTAACTTCAAGTACTTTTATTGCCAAATACATTTGGCAATAAAAGTACTACACTTTTTTTAGATACTCAGATACATCTGAGTATCTAAAAAAAGTGATTTTCCTGTTTGCTTCTACATGAAACCTTTGCTGGTTCGTTAATGCTTCCAACTAAATATCAATACGTAATACTTTGACACAACAAATGGTTGTTATTGTGTGTGTCAAATGGTTTTAGAATAAAAAAAAAGATATTTTGACTTTGACTTTATATATATAACTAGCTGTACCCTGCCACGCATTGTTGTGGCATGTTATGGTTGCATTGATAAGAAATGAGGTACTTACTCAGGTAAATATCGATAATACATTTATATATATATAGTATTGTATAACGTATTTTGTCCTCAATTTAAAGCATTTGATTATTTTGATTCTCAAAATATTTTCAATACATACTCGTAGGTATGTCTAAAAAACTTAATATACCTAATTGATATAAAGGTTTGTACCACAATGTAGATGTAACAACAGATTGTAGGTAGGCAATATATAACTCAAATTATAGAATATTCTCAAACCTCTATATATCAGGTAACGGAATAAATTTCTCAAACTGTTAATCTGATATCAGTGTCATGTTGCTTGCGATTAACATAACAGTAAACATAATAAAAAGCAAGAATGAACGTCTCTACGAACGTTTTACATGCAAATATAAAATTTCTTATCAAAGCTGAATCATTTCGTCGCTCGGATGCAATTGCCATTATAATTATTTGCAATGTTTACTTAACACCCTTTCACACATGATGTGATTTTAACAATGCGATGTACCTAAGGGTGCATACACCCTTGCATGGAGCTCATACTCACATTCAATGCGTTTATTGAAATACCTCTTACTACTTACAAAAGGAATCATTCATAATCTCTTTCTATCTGCTCTGGATTTCTAAGGTAGCGTTATACAAAAATTATATTCAAGTCACAGTAACGCTAAATCACTTAAATGTTATATCGATTTAGTATCATTTTATATTTACTTTATCTTATTTTCTTTATTTGTCTATCTGCTTTAATAAAACTATGTTTTATTGAAGGGAACTTCAAAATAATAAGCTAACATAAGTGTAGAGGTAGCTATCTACACAAAGATCTGAAGCGGCGACAGTTTATCCATCATTTGACGAATTGATTAGAATCTACCGAACGATAAACGAGATGAAGGAGGCGCTTGCAGCGGATGCGAGCAACGTAATTTTATTCTATTTGAATATATCATTCGTCTAAATGTAGGTTTATTGCTACTTTTCTCACGGAACTAATACATTATCAAAAAAATTAATTGAAAAAGATTTCGCCATTTGTCTTAATCATTAAAATGGGCTTCACATTACACATAACTGTCGTTGTTCATTAATTTTGTGATAAACAAAATATTCCCTAAAATAAATGAGTGAATAAAAATAAAACTAAAAAGGGATAGCCCACAGCTGGAGGCGATTTGCGCACGACTCTCATAAAGTCGACAGTTACATTTTTTGGCGCAGCTGTTTCAATGGGAAATATTCGCATGATAAAGAATGGTCAAGAATGAATGGTCAAGCCCCGACTTTATATTTAGCTGCGTGATAACCACGACAGGGACATAACGATGTTACTATCTTTTTATTCATTATCTTCATAAGGGGTCGGTTATATCCAAGTGAATTGTATGGTATTAACTACTGTCTCTCTAACAATAACGATGTATCTTCAAGAGGAAACCGGTTCTAGTCCTAAATGGGTCACACGGTTCCAACTCCCCGAGTTGTTGTTAAATCACCGCGACTTTAACGGCACATGTACTGAACCCGCTCGCTGAATAGTACGATTCACTTTACGTGCAATCATACATATTTTAATACATTTTATTGTAAAATATTTTGTTGTATATAGTTTGCAATTAAAACTAGATACATGTCATTTTATGACATAGTATTAACTAAATAAAATATTGCCTCCTTACCTACATAGTAATTAAATACACAAATAACTTCTATCATTAGTAGCTCATAAAATACGTTAGATACATAAGTGTATAGAAACCAACCTCCCGTTAGTACGTACAGCGAGTGCGAACAGTGACAGGGTCAAGAGGGCGAGGCCCTCCCTAGAGGCATCCCGCCGCGCGTTTCTATGCTAATCTAAGCGTTAGTATTCGACAGCCTCTGACAACTATTAATGGTTATAGCTGCCGTTTCTATTTAATACCCGTAACATCCGTGTAGTCCTGTGCATAGACTTTAGCAGTGCCCGCGCAATGCGTTTACGCAACGCTTTTACGCCTACGTCAGCTTATCTCGAAGGAATACAGACAAAACTAGTTAATTTCTACATCTATCGAGCATTCAATTCAAATAATACGAGCGATTTAGACAAGAAATAGGGTGCCTCAAACCTGACGATGCACTGGCGCTGAAATATTAGCATACAAACGCATTCGGAGACACAGAACGCGTGGATGGGTGCGGGCGAGTTGGAACATTCGTTATAATTTTGAATGTATGAATGAGCAATAGCGGTGCGCGTTAAACCGCGTGGGCCGCGTGCCGACAATGACTTGAGACAAGTCCTGGGCGTCCTTGTCAATGTGAGCCGCTTCCAGCCACATCCGTCTATTGTCATTATTTGTATTGTGTACTCCCGTAAACAGTGACGGGCATGACTGACGGAATAGTGTACGTTATGTATCGCATTCTAGAACATAGCTACACCGAACAGCAGTGCCTCGGGACCAAAACGGGCTACCAACAGACCCTCGGTCGCGCCGACGTGTGTGGTGAAACGTGGGAGGCTTTTACCACTGTGACAATCGTCTATTCTTAAGTGAACAACCTACATGCTACAACACCAACTTTTATACTAACGCGGGCTCTGCATTCATGTATAATAAACATTTAGAACACATTTATTTTTATTTTTTGTAAAGATATTCAAAAAATTAACATTTTTACGGATATAAAACTAGTTTCCTTTATAAGTAGTGTTTATGGAATATAATAAAACATTCATAAAAGTTTAAATGGTCTGTATAGGGTCAAGTTAACATTATGCGCTCCTTGTATTAAGAATGTGACACGGCGTTTGCTCATTTTTGCGTCGCAATTCAAAGGATGCTGTTAACAACCTCTTTCAAAGAGCGAGTATAATTTGATCGGGGTCGCATTTCTATGGGAATCCGTTGAATGCACCGACTGCATTTATAATAATTTACATTTAGAAAGCTACTATTGTATTATTTTTTTTGTATGTTAGAGGGGGCAAACGAGCAGACGGGTCACCTAATGAAAAGTGACCATCGCCGCTCATGAACGTCTGCAACTCAGGAGTCACAAACGCGTTGCCGGCCTTTTAGGAAGGAGTACGCTCTTTTTTTGAAGGTTTTAAGGTTGTATCGGTCCGGAAATACCGCAGGCGATAACCCGTTCCACAGATTGAGATTGGTTGTGCGGGGCAAAAAGTGTTTCAAAAAGCGCACAGTAGTGGAGCGCCAATAATACTATCAACTATAATTATTATAAAAATATTACCATTTCTTCTTCTTAAAAAGTTAATCTTTCAAATGTGGTTTGGCCAAATCAATCATTTAGTCTTATGTAGTCATACCTTAAGTCAGAAACATGATAGGTAAAGGACTAAATTGCTTGACAACTTACTCCAATGTTATAATGTTCAATGTTTGTTGCAAATACTTCTGGATTTGGGTATTTACATAGATATTTTCGTATTAAAATTAAAATAGCAAAAATATGTTAATCTAAGAATGATATACGGTATAATACAGAAGCAGGTAGAAGGGTGTCGTGTTTCGCTGGAGTTGCGAACTGCAATTTTGTTAATCCCGCCATAGGTATTCAAATGAGCACCTATGATTTATTGAGTGGAACATTTACATTTTTATTATTTGTTATTCTTACACCTTTCGCTGGGGCCGGAAGCCACGCGGCGTCTTGTCTCAGTGTACTCGTCCGTGAGACTTGAGCAATACACACAACCCCGCCTGCTTCTCAATGCGCACAAAAACTCCTCTAGAAAAAGACTGCATATTATCATAGTTTACATATAAATTTTACGCAAATTCATTTCGTATTCACCGCGCCACGATATTCGGCGATTATAATGATAATTGTTCCGATACACGAACAATTTGATCTACGGCCGTGAGAATCGACAATTGATTTTTCGCGATCATTTTTATGATTCTGCTTGATTGTTAGCTATCGATTTTCAAAAATTGTTTTGCTAATACAATTAATGTTCTCCATATATGTACACTTATAACTATTTAGTTTAATAAACAAGTATTAGTACCTACGATGCCCATAATGATGTAGGTATGTCTTCTCTTCCTTCTTCCTGCAAGCCTTTTTCCTAAACTAAGTAATGGTCGGCTTAAAGTCTATCACATCATCATCATTATCAACAACGGCCTCTAACAGTCCACCGCTGGACGTAAGCCTCTCCTTAGAAAGGGGTTGGTTTCACTTTGTTTCAGGTTTGCTTCTCTTTGCAGTTCTATTGTCCTGCATAGTTTGCTCCCTTAGTCGATTTTACGACACCCACGGGACGAATAGGGATAGTGACACTCCGTATTCTTAATCCGTCACCACATGGACCGATAAGTCTACTACGATGCGCCTGATCTTCGATTTTTTATGCGGAGCAGACTTATCATTAGACTTCCACAACCTAGTACAAGTACTAGGCGATATCGAACTTCTTCTCTTCGATTTAGATAAATATTTACTTTTAACCGACTTCAAAAAAAGGAGGAGGTTCTCAATTAGATTGTATTTTTTTAATGTTTGTTGCCTCTGCGGCTACGTCATTTATTTATTTTTTACTTCCCGTTTTGTTCCTTTAAAATTTAAGGTATATATACCACCTCTAATGGTCCAGCTTTAAGGAATGAAGAATACAGTTTATTACAATTCATCATGATTTAGGCGCATTAAAATCAGTCAGATCCCCTTGATGGGTAGTCATTAGGTAAATTATGTTTTTACAAATCTATTAAACTTTTCATATACTCGTATGATAGATTGAATCAATTTGTAATAAACTTATTATCCATAACAAAAAAAATATACATGTCTATACTAACTTTTAAATATGCATGCATGTAAGTCTGTAAACACACTAGAGCTTAGATTATAATGTGAATTGTGACGTGTTCATAACGGCGGTTAAAAATATTTGTTTGTGACTCACGGCCAGACATCTACAAGCTTGGCATCTTTATGCAAGGTGAGATGCGTCTCATGTGTCAGCGCCGGCAACTTGTAGTACTCAATCGGCTGCTGCTGAGAATCGTCCATGGCGCCTAGTACAGCTGATGTGGCCGCACTCAGTGGGTGCTCTGCAGCGCTCGAGTAATATGCACGCCAAGACTCTCCGCTCACCTCCATCACCTCTTTGCGTCGTCTGTCAACAAAACGACAATTTAAATAAATTGTAAGATATATATGCTTAATCAAACTATAATACAGACAATATTGACAATGCGTAATAGTTCATTCAATTCGTAGAGTAAATCGAGTAAACATAGCGTAAATTACTGATAAACAAAACTGCTGTAGTTTTACAAACGATTCGACTACAACTTACGAACCAGTTATTAGGCGTGACCATTTTAGTACGGATACTGACCTCCGATGGTACCCACCGGCGGTCATCGTATGAGATGACGTTACGTGTGCTAATTGTTGCGCATACAGACCGTGAGTCAGCAGAGTTGGTGTCCGGTGTAAGAGCGAAGTAACTAGTTATTGGAACCAGCTCGCAACGGACGAGGGGCTTTGTCTAATTCGGGTAAGTTTATGCAAGTTCGCAGTAGTACTCATACGTCACGCGGTCTGGTCGCCTGGTGCCGCGGAACCTGCTGTAGAACAGGTCCGAACCACTCGCAGAACCGGAAGGATACGAGGCAAATCCCTGCTCCCTCGCTAACCAGTTTAGGTCGTCTGACGTCACTCTCAGCGGTATCCGACGCTACAGACAAATAAATAAAAAATGTTGGAAGCACGCGTCAGACGGGTTTGACCGGATCGTGGTTTTCTACCTGATTCCTGTTCCTGGTGTGTTAACATATCTTGGTATGATGTTCGAAATATGACATTAATATACCACCTCATTCCGACAGTGGATACCCAAAAAAAAACCAAACACCTAATTTCTTCTTTGCTTAAACATCGACTCATATTTCTTTCCAATTCAAGATAAACGAAACCTTGACACATTGTTCACTTTAATTGAAAACTAATCCTTAGTTGTTGGCATGTGATTATACAGATAAATCCATGAAAAGTTAGCCTGCAGAATGCCGTATTAGTTTAAAGCAAGAATAGAATGTGCGAATTGGATCAGAGAACTGGAAAAGCCAGCTTCTGGTATTTAACCAACCGAAGTGTGAGTCATTTGACGAGTTAACTGGTAGGCGGTGGCACAGGGGGTCGGGCGGCGCGGCTCCACCACGTGAATGAGATTCCGGTAGGTACGCACGTAAAAATCGTGCAACGAATCTAACAGGTTTGCTGGGGTCCTTTCGAGGCCACCGGGACTGGTCTAACCTGCCCTGTGCAGCTAAACTTCGAATATCCGAACATTTCCTATCATATTGGCTTCGAATACATATAAACATACGAACTTATTTATATTTAAAAAAAAATCCAATTTCTGGAGGTAGACATCAAAAGAAGTTACGCAACAAATTTGACAAAACGTATGTAGCTTGACTGGTATATCTATAAATTATTAATTGATAACTCTTTTCGTAGCTATCAATTGTTCGTGCCATTTAATGTTTCGCAAGCTCCTACTCCTCGTATATTTGTTTACAGTGGAGAATTGAATGGACCGATTAGAAAGTATCACGCACAGCTGTCACGGAGACGTGACGTATGTTGGAGCGGAACGGATCATATTGAGCAAGGGGTTGTAGATGCCTTCGCAACGTAGACAAAACATTCGATACGGCCATTTGGTACATGTATACGTTGCCTTCACACCTAGCTGACGACACATCTTTATTTCTAGCGGTAACATTTAAAATGTTAGTATTTTATCCTAAGACAGCAATAACTAAAGGGAATAACCTTAAGACTGTTTGAGTGAAAGCTCGAATACAAACAAACTCTTCATGCCGTACTCGGTCGGATCACATCATGGGACAAATTTATCAGAGGTGTACGGTGTACAGAGAAACGACCAGTCGGCAGTCGGCAAGTTTCGAAAGGCGGCGCTCGTCCACGTCCGGTGACGCGTCCAACTATCGATCATTCGGTTCGTTAATAAATAACATGTTGGCGTCTCTCGCCGCTTATCTGCTGCTCGGGCATGTGGAAAAAATTGGTGTAGGTGTCGTAACGGAGCGGCACGCATGTCTCGTAAGGTTGCGTGCGCCGCCTGCAGTGCTTATCCTCTGCGGTCGTTGCCTCTCAGGCTCTTGCTTAGTTATTAATCTCTTAATTAAAACCTGAGACATCGTAAGATACAAAAATGACTTCGTAATTACCTATTATACCTACAAAAATTACTTCCTAAGCTGATAGTTACATATTTAAATTCTACTTAAATTCAAACTAAAAGCATTTCCCGTAGTGTAAATTTTATACATCTAAAAAACTTCTTTACTTACTTATAATCAATTACGAACCCACGGTGTTAATATAATGAGAACAAATAGTTATCTATAAGTTTTAAATATAATTGATAATTATATGGAAAATAAGATTTCATGTGATTGCTTTAAGAACCCATAGCATCGCAAATTTTTGCCATATCTGTGCCGCCCGATTGAGTCTCTTCTCACTAGACCTATAGCTTGGTTATTAGCGAATAAGGGACTTTCGAGAATACCTGTCTCATATTTAACCTGTCTCATATGCAATAACCTCACGTAGATATATAGCCTTAAAGGTATACGTCTCGTTTCAGATATATTAAATCATGGTCGAACAGGCCGCACAGTCTCACCTCGCTCACCCGGCAGGTGCAGTAGCCTGTGCACTACGTACTTCAAGGGAAAGTGCAGGGTGTGGCTTGATTCTACGCATGTTTTATCATTGAGGATAAGAGAAACTAGTATGCATCGCGACTAATGACTCATTACCCGCTCCATGCCAGTGCTAAGTTTTACGCGATAGAAGTGGTGGTTTACACGATATATTTTTTATTTTGTCATAAAATACGTTGTGGATGATCTAATAAAACATGCTTCAAAAAGTACCTATCATTAATATACTCACTGCTGGAATCGTTGAAGCTCGTAGCTAGTTTCTTCTTTTAGCCATTTTCAATCACTTTACTACTAAATGTAGACAAAAACATTAATTGAAATATTTTAAGATTGAAAGTTTGAAATTTAGGTTACCTTAAATAGATATTTCTTTGTTTTTTTTGATAGAACTTTTCTTTGAGCTGCAAATGCTTTATCGGGTAGTCAATAATAAAGAAACACAATATTTGTACAAAACATTACAGCTAACGATTGGAGTTGGAATGTGGCTTCGCTGCATTTTGTCAATTAAAGAATTCGCTCGTTGGATTGTGGCAAAACTGAAGACACACTGTTATGGCAGCACAAAAAATTGTACATTCTTCATACCAGTATAAATAAATAAGGGATGAGTACATGGAGCAGTGAGCACACAGAGCAGATACGCGGAGTAAAACTAAACGAGGAACATTTTCGACAAACCTCTTTTTGTGCCTTGACGAGGAACGCATATGCGATGATTCATTTACGGAGTTCTTTACCGTACAAGTATAGCCAACATTATTACTTCTGTTTTCTTGGCAACATTATGTACGGTCAACAAGAAATGTTTTCTCAGAAATATGCGCCCACGTAGATTAAAGATGGAAACGCAACATGGGCTCTAAATAAGTCATGTCTCCTGTCTGCGTAACTAGTAGCATTTATTTCGGAAAATTAACTAACTCGGTAAGTAACGGGGATAATCAACAATTGTAATCACATTGAATGTGACTTTTACAAAAAAGTAAGTGATTTATGATGAATTTTATCTCTTTATTGTTGTCAATTGTACTAACAAATGCTTTTTCACATTTGAGTTTTTAAATACAAGGGGTGAGATTGATATTTCTATAATAAGAAATGACGTATCAAATACACAAACCACTCTCTTAAAGTTATTATTTATGAATAAGGGATTTAAATGTAAAATTTGTGATAAAATTTTACATTGCATAAACTTGGAAATACACTGATAACAACTGAATTATTTAGAAAATGTAGTTATCGTATTCACGTCACAACGACACGTCACACGAAATTACTTTATTTATGAAATGACTCTTAGTAAGTTTTTTTTTTTATTTAAAGCGCAGAAAGTATACATTCATAATACTTTTGAAAACCGTTGAGTGACCGTTGAGTGACAACGCTGTTCTAGGTAGACGGGCAGCGCGGGATGGATGAATGCCAAACGTAACCCGCGATTATAAGAAGTGCTCCTTTTATTGTGCGAGCTTGATCGACCGACACGCTGTAACACGAGTTCAATAAAAATGGAATCAATGGTTTGTGCATTTGTCGTCCGAACATGTACTTCATTGACTGTCATCTTTAAAGTTACTATTCACTATTTAACGACACTGTTGAATTATTTGAATACACAAAATCATTCCCATTTCAATTTTTTTTATGTAGTAGTATCGGTAGAATATAAATATAATAGCACCAACGATATATATAAATACAATGTAACAGACAATTTTTCCCTTCATGAAAGAGGACCGAGGGGAACTGCGGAAATAGACATGAGTATGAAGGGCGTCACTGTTAAAGTCGTATAAAAATTTGATCGCAATTATGTTTTCTCGTGAGCAACAACTTACAGCAACTTATCATCGATCAGTTAGTAACAAATTAACTCTATCTATAACATAAACGATACATGTAAGTAATAAAATTGTTGTTTTACGGATATTATATACAAATTTAACAGAGAATATCTGAGACCATAAATGGTCACAGAAAAATATTACAGCAAACGTCGAACCAATGGAGCCTCGGAGCCTACAAATGTTTTGGTTCCACTACAAATCAAAATGAAATATACAATCGAAGTTGCAGGCATTAAGCTCTAGTTAAGCTCGCGTAAAATGCCTTATTAGAAGAGTTACGAGCTTAGAAAGAAAGAACGCCCGCGGCGCCCGCTCTTCTCTAAAATCAAAATAAATGCTTCGTTTCCGTTTTGTCTGACTTTTCTAATTTGAATGCCGTGTGTGGTCCATGTTCATGAGAAGGCGTCACTTAATAGCTTGTACGAGTATCCGTATAAATCAGACCCGTAATTCTGTAAACAACATAAATAGTGTAAACTGATAACTTAATGGGCCCGTCAAGTAGTAAGTTGGAATCGCTGAGGCACCGTTTTGTGGAATTATAGCAATTAAATAAAAACCAGCAATAAGCCCATTTTGCCACAGAATTCTGTCAGCTATTCATGTTTGGGCTGAGCGACGCGCACCGGCTGATTAAAGCCGCTTCAATGAAAATGTTAATGTTCTCGATTGTGTGCTAAACGCGGTACTCACCGAATGGTCGACTGAACAAAGAGACCATATCTATAAATTTCATGACGCAAACTATACGTATAAAAAATCTATGAATGACACTACAAATGAATTTTATTCCATAAAGCAACACTAGTAAAAACTTTGATAGTATTCTTAAACAGATTTGACTGCTGTCGTTAAATCAGCATGAAGATATAAATTAGAAGCGATGCGACGTGATCTGCGCAGGCGCACAAAGCGGTTCGCGGCCGCGCAGTCGCGCCGCGTATTGTTGCGTGCGAATTAAAACAGGTTGTGGTTGGCAGGTATCTATATAATGTGATTTATGCCCGATTATATTATACTCCTGCGACTATAATTAAACTGCGAAGCCATTATTCCCAAAAGATCTACAAGTTCTGCGACACTGCCCACAGAAACATGGCAATGTTGATTTAGTGCCTTGAGATTTGCTATCCTATTGTTTGACTCTGATGAACTAGTGGTAAGACTATTATTAGAATAAAACATTATTCGAACACCACTATTCAGCAATTCGTTCGTATAACCGTTGAAACATATCTTAAAAAATACTATAAGCGATTAAGAAATAGATTTGAAAGACAAGTCAATAAGCTTTGTAAAACGAATGTAAATATTTGTCTTATTAAGATAATTTATCGTCAATCCTATGTGAAAAAGTGACACAAATAATATAAAAATGTACGACCCGTAAGTGCCGGTGTGAGCACGGCACGGCATTACGACCTTTAAAAAATCGCAAACAACTCGTCAGCATCCTGACAATTGTGAGAACGAGATCAATTATCCTGGGCAAATAGTAATTGTCAACAATAAATAAACCACGAATTAAACTTTATAAGAACGTTTTCATTATCGGTACACTGTTAAAATAGCACGTCAATCATTTTACGAAGCAATCAGCGGGCCGAGATGGCAGGGTGCGCGATAAGCTTTTAATTACTACGGATGCCTATTTACATATTGTAGGAGATACTCGTGAATATATCGCAATTAGGGGTGTAGGAACTTTTCCTTTAAGGCTTGGAGTATTTGGATTCGTTACGTTGATTTGACGAAAGATTAAATTGCCTCGATGTTAAAGTTGCACGTCACACAAGCTTGCAAGCGACTGAATTGCGATTACATTTTGTAAAACATTTCCAACGTCCATTGATATCGTAATTTATCACTATCGTCGATTAATAAATACGTCTGTGCAAAACGCCATTTGCATTTAATGAATTCACAAGTAAATCCTAAAATACTAGTAATATAAATTCCTAACAAAACTAACTAGTAACCACGACTTGCATGACGATCTCAATTTGATCTAAAGCTCCGAACATATACTCGTATGTTTTCACTACGTATAAAAAGGTGTTATCTATGAACTTTTACTTTTAGACATATCGTGGCCATATGAGCTTAACCGAGACTCCAGTTAAGATTATAAACGAATGGATACTAAGCTCGATAAAGGAGAAAAATTAAATAGAAATAATTTCATTTCTCATACTTTACAAGGTATCTATATCTTAAAGCTAATATCTTATTAAAAGCGTAGTTTTAAACTTGATGTGATAATTTTATTGAGCTACTTCATCAAAGAGTCGTTATTTATTTATTAAGACTCATTATGACTAAAACAAAAGAAATAAATTTAAAAATCTAAATATTGTAATTTGTAACATGTATATATTTAGAGTTGATACGGACCACGGCTTGGATCAAAATATTTTTTCCGCTACAAAGTCAAGTTAATTTTCTGATAACCTTGCCTATAATGTTAGATTTTTATCTATATTTTATCTATAAAATTTATGCAATTTTTTTAAATTTATTATTATTATAATGCGCAAAAACGGCTGTTTCTAATAGTGGAGGCAGATAATTTACGAGCAGCCTGAATAACCAAGTGTCGTCATCGTCAGCCTTCCGCTGGCGCTACGTAAGAGCCCTATAGGTATTTACCAACTTATCTCGCCAACAGGATATTGTGGACAAGTATATATAATAGAAGAAACGATGGTTTAAAATAAAAATCTAACATTAATGATTTAACAAACTTCTACATAAATAACCGTGCATCCTGTCATTTGTTAAAAAATATGAAGATAAATTTAAAGAGTAGGTACCTTTAAAAGGTGGAGACGACAACCAAAGGTACATAATTCCCCTCCCCCCTCTAATGTAGCACTAGTGATCCAACATTGCACCTAAAACATTTCAGTTGCGTAATAAGAATATTAATTTAGTAATAAATCTCAGTACGAAGGTTCTAATTTGAGTAGAAAACTGCTGCGCCCTACGGCTTTATTCGTTATATCTGTACATAGTAAAAAAAATCCTTTTTTGGTGTTGTGCACTTAAACTAAGTAATGGATTGTAATGCGGTTTTCACCAATTGTGAGAGTGATTCAAGAGGGAGGTTTATATGTATAATACACGCATATTATAGTAGAGAAAATCCGAGGATTTCAAAGATTTGTCGTCAAAACATGTTTTT